CTTCTTCCCATCAATCTTTCCTGAACCACTACAGCGACTATGAGAGCCATTCCATATGTTCATACATTGTATCATACATACTTGCCATTTTTTGAAATAAATAATATTATCCCTATAGCCAACCATGATAGAACAAGGATACGGCACGGGTAATCGTCTATCTTCGTGGTTTACACGGAAGCCATAAGAGGCAAGAAAATATAACCCCTCTAGGAGTATCAATTCACAAATATATTCTTGACCTTTAAATTTGTGCTATAACATATCGCCTAGGAGTATCAATTCACAAATATAATCTTGACCTTTTCTACCAAGTACAGAACTCTCAGTCAAATTTGTGCTATAACATATCGCCTAGGAGTATCAATTCACAAATATATTCTTGACCATTTCTACCAATTCTTATCCTCCAAAATACTTACATCCAAGGTACATATAAATCACTAACGTTTTGCGAACAGAATATAAATCTACTTAGGCACACAGCAAGACAATCCACACATGTTTAATCCAATCTGTATCTTTTAATAGAGTTTTCCCCTATAATCTATTTACACGGTTTACTAATTCTTGTCATTCTTTTTCTCAAGATATTTGCCTGCGCCATGTCTGTCATGGCAGCTTGATATGAGAAAGAGTTTGGGAATTGGCACTTGCAGGCAGTTTAGAACATACGTTTCATTTGCAGAATATTTCGGCGGTAGTCTGGCATATCGGCCTGTGAGCTGGTCACGTCAGCCCTCCTCGAGTCATACTCACTGAACTGGTATAGGCAGTTGTTCTGCTGCGGACACATAGCCCCAGGGTTATAGTCTGTCCATTCTTTTAGGACTTTGCTTGCACCATTTCAGTCATGGCAGCTTGATTCTAGGTCAAGAATGGGATTTGGGACTTGCAGGCAGTTTCAGGCCATGAGTTTCATTTGCAGAATCTCGTGCACAATGCGCCTTCGGAAGTATGGCATATCGGCCTGTGAGAAGGTCAAATCAGCCCCCCTCGAGCGGTACTCACTAAACTGACACAGGAACACCCCGCAATCACTGCAGTTGTTCTGTTGCGGGCACATGGTTCCAGGCGTGTAGTCAGTCCATTCACTAAAGTCCAGAGGTTGCCCCGTCTTGGATATATGCTCTTCTTGTAGGTAATCCCTCAGCGTCTTAAGTACAGCTGTATTGCGTCCACCCAAGCTGTCGTAGTATTCGAAGCGCTTCTCTTTGACATTGATCACGGCTGCGCACCAATGATTGCCCAAGTGCACAGGGACGACAACGTAGTTTTTCTCGAACAAGTTGAACTGTAGATAAGAGTTTGACCAGATTGGTTGAGTGCAAGGATGCATATATATATATGTTTTATATATATGTGTGTGCGTATATATATATATATACATGCACACACACACATATATATATATATGGTGCTTTCTAATATATAAATATAATTATAAATGTATATGATACTTTCTACTATGTACGAAGTCACAACATATGCTTCTCGATGAACTGTAAGTAGAGTCTACGACCAGAGTGAGTGGGTATACGGGGACTACAACCCAGCCTTTCTCGAAGAGGTTGAGCTCTCGATAGAAAGTTCACATGGAGAGTTCGATTGGAGCAGGTAAGTGCACGTGTATATACTTTGCAATGTCATATACTACACTTGCAATATGTTCTCGGCCAAAAAAACCAAACAATACAAAATAAACATGCTAGCTTGTCGAGGTTGAACTGTATGTAGAGTATGATCAGAGTGAGTGAGTGTACAGGGACAACAAAGTAGAATTTTTGAAGCACTTGAACTGTGGACGGAGAGTTTGACACCGAGTGGGTGGGTGCACTTGTGCATATACGATATCGTACAATTTCATATACGGAAAGCCGCAACCGATTCTATCTCGAAGATGTTGAACGGTAGCTCGTGTATGTGGCCAGGGCGAGCGAGCGAGCGAGCGAGTGAGTGAGTGAACAAAACGACATGTGTGTTTGAGCAACACATTATCTTGTCCCGAGCCTTGGGCATAGCTACGCATGTTTCATCCACATACACACTAAGGAAATGTCTAAACATACAGTCAAGAGGGAACCCTCCCGATATCCCAAACACTCACACGGGTTGATGCGTACCTTCCTAGTCCACCGCTTTACACCTGCAAAGCCTTTGTCTTGCAACTTCGAGAGAAAGTGCGTGTTAAAGCAGTGTACGGGTGGCATAGTGGTGCCGGGCTGCTTGGCTCGGTCGTTGATGAGAGCCATGTACATGTTGATGACCTGTGTTGTGGAAGGCGCGGAGTGTGACTATCAGTGTTATACGGGGGTGTTGAGTTAGGATGAATTGCGTGAAAATGGGTTCGAGATATTAAAGCCAACATCCTCGCATATGAAGCCAATACATACGGTCCCGAATATATATACATACGCAAGCAGACCTAAACACACATCTCGTCATCATGCAGTTTGAGGCTGCATGATGTAGGTTTGCGCTTCTTGACATCCAGTCACAAATTCCTTGCATAAATAAGAATATCAACGAACGAATACTATACATACAGACACACACCCATACCCATACACAGGCATATATATATATATATATATATATATATACATACATACATATATAGACATATATGATTATATTCTTATAGACCATAAAGTCATACATGCACACACACACAAAAGCCCCCTCGCATACCGTGTCGTTGAGCCATTCTAGACCGTTCAACAGAGAGAGATCGCGCTGCTTGACCTCCAACAACAACCCCTTTGCGTGTGTATGATCGTCATCATATTCATCATTGAAGATATCGTCTATCACCTCCTCCGAGTCCGCAGGGATCGCTGGCAGCTGTGGCTTTTGGCGGAGTTCTTCTTCCTGTGGCGGGGAGTGACACAATTCAGTGTTGAGGAGTGGTGTGACGATGTATTGTATGCATGTATATGCACAGCTATTTATAAAAAAAGATATTTATAGATAGATATACACACATGTATATATGTATAATGTATACCGGTAACTCTTTGCACCCATGAGAAAATGGATAAATACTCAAATTCGCGATATAAACTGAACGAGCGTGGATACGCACGAGACAGATACATCGGTGTAGACAAACAAGCAGACATGCAGGTGGAACGAACCGGAAAAGTCTCAATATTAATTACTTCCCAAACCGTGAGAATGAAGATCTAGCGCTTTCAACCACGATCAACTGAAGCATTGAAGAGTCTCGCCCTTGTAGTACATGCTATCCAATGCATCGGACGAAGTTTTCCTACACAACACCTCTTAAAATAAAATATCGAGCCTTCCCCTATATGTGCACACACACACACACATTCATATAGATAATATATTTTCAAACACACACACACACACATATATATATATGCATATGCATATACATATACATATACATGATATATATAAATATATATATATACATATACATATACATATACATAAACATATATTTGATATACATG